CATTTAATTGTCAGCTTATTTGACAGGCCATAACCTTTTCCACCTCCTTAAGGTCTCCTCTACTCCAATGTTAAGTCCTTATTGATTCCAACATTTTAATCAATAACACTCATTATACTAGCTGAATGACACTAAAAGAAATCTTTATCTTCTTCTAATCAAACTTAAATATGTCTGTTCTTTTAGATAAAACATGACTTGCCTTCCTCTATTTATAACAAACACTTACTGGTTGTGAATGATTTTTAACAAGCAGCCTATAATTTTTATCCTTTCTTAATCTTTTTAAACCGATTTATTTCTCCCTAGTTCAAGTTGTAGTAAACAGTACTACAGCAGCAAATTATCTGCTAGAGACTTTAAAAATCTCCCGGTCAACCAATGTGGTCCAGTAATATGCTCTCGGAGAGGGTACCTTCAGGTGTCACCTTTTTAGAATCAATCACACACACATCATCTAACAGAAAAATCTACCTTAAAATGGATACATATATTTTCTTTCACTAGCATATCAAAACCAGATGGCTTTGTCTATCTAATCTGTCTTTTCATACTAACCACTGTGTATGTTCCAATTAGGTCCCGAGATTAATTTGAAATTTTAAAAAAGTGAAACACTTAAAAAGATACAACCAGGTCCCTGTGGGAAGTATTGCCTGTGTTTGACTCACAGTTGATTTGTCCAGTGGGAGTCTACTTTTTCTATCATGGCATCACAGGATTCCATTCTCCTGAATTAAGCATGTGGAAGAAAGCTCAGCAGTAAGCCCACAACTTTGTTGTTAATATACCAAAATTTGCGTCCTAGCTTTTTCTCTTCTCTCAGCTATCAGTATCTGAATGTCAAGTGGAAAAATTCAGCATTTGCAAGAAGACTTCTGCTTCTAGCATTCTTGGGAAGATTCTAGATCCAGAAATGGCACATGGTTTTGCAACGGTACATAAAGGTCAGGTTTGACAAGAGATCATTTGGTTTTATAGGTACTTTGTTGATTACCAGAGACAGCTTTGCTAACCCTAGACAAGAGAATGAAGACAGCATACCAAAGGCTGGGAAACCTAAGCAAATTCGTTCAGGACAAGAGTTCTTATCTGACCCACCAGTTTCCTTTCTAGCACTATAACTGTTTTCATATTAGACAGTTAAATTAAAACTTAAATCTATAGTTCTACTCCATCCTGGAAATCATGGGCCTTCAGTTTTCAGGTCTTTCTAGTTGTAGTATCATTTTTAAATTTTAGACAACTCTTCCCTGGGCATCACAAAAATAAAAAAAAATAAAGATCACAGAGTAGAATTTGTCCTTGATAAAAAGGCAAATATAACATAGACACTGAGGAAAGTTGTTCCATAATTTTAGTAGGAAGACATTCCAATAATAGCTCTGCTTAGGGCATACTCCTGAGAAAATGTACTTGACAGGGCTATAAAATTATGCAGAAATTGTGAATTTCCCCACAGAAAGAAAAGGGAAAGGGTCAATATATCCGTGCTTGTAATGAATAAATCTTCTTGACATATTTTGTATTAAGAATAGATCCTACATCACATCAGAGATATAGTAGAGTTTTAATATGATAAATGTAACCTGTAGTTAATGGGTCCAATTTAATTTGAAAGGCACTCTGATTTAACAATGTTATGGGGAGAGTCACAAAGGAGTAACTTTTGTTCATTCATTCACTCAACAAATATTTTTTGAGTGTCTACTTTGTACCCACAAGTACCATTAGGTGCTGGAGGAAGCTGATTTACTAACAAGCTAAAAAAGGTTGAAAGTCAGGGTCCCTTACTTATATGGATCCCTAGCAAATTGTTCACATAGTCACATGCTTTTATAAGTTTGCAAAAGCAAAAGGTTGGTTGGTTGGTTATTTATTTATTTATTTATTTAATTTATTTATTTTGAGGGAGAGAGAGCATGGGTACACACAAGCCAGGGAGGCAGAGAGAGACAGAGAGAGGGAGAGAGAGAGAGAATCTGAAGAAGGCTCTGCACTGTGAGCAGAGCCAAGAGTGGGGCTTGATCCCATGAACTGTAAGATCATGACCTGAGCTGAAATGAAGAGTTGGATGCTCAACCGACGGAGCCACCCAGATGCCCTGTCTGAAGCAAAATGTTTTAATTGCAAATAGTTATGACTGCTGACCTAATCATGTCTGTCCCAACTTCCCTTGGGAAGTAGACTTAGGACACACTTAGGCTAGGCTGACTGGAACCTATGTATATGACTTGCAGTCACTTCAGTTTTAGTTAGGCTACTGTAGTCTTCTCGTGTAGAAATGGATCCCAGAGTATTTGTACTGTCCATTGTGCAACTCACTTACCTACTGTTGAAAAGGAGGGGCAGGGCTCAAGGTTGTAATGCAACATTCATACCCTGAGGCACCCGGTGTTGTGTGTGGTGTTGGAAAAACCAGGCTAGAAATGTACAGAGCCAGAAGCTAGTCTGTGGAATATTCTTCCAAATGTTATGGTTCATATGCTAAAGAACCTTATAAGGGTTTTCATATTCAACAACAATTTAAAAATGTGTAAGAGATTTAGCAATAATGTTGAAATTAAAAGGTTTTTCTAATCAATATATTTTTAAAAACTTGTTCAGCTATGCTAGAGATAGAACAAAATTATTTTCCTATTCTCTCTGTAGATTATATTACAAAATTATTATAATTTGAAGAGGCAGTCAAAGAGAATGTTACCAAAAACTGTGGAGGGAAGAATTATAGAGGTGGGTCAGGCAATAAAGTAAAAAAAAGGCAGTCTTTTGTTTTTCAGATTTTATAATGCTTGTGGTATTTGCCAGCATTTTAAATCTTGTAAATTTTTTTGCATTCCAAATAAATAAATATTAAGTTTCACTTCTATTTCATTTTGTAATTTTTCTATTCTTTTTTCTTAAATAGGGCACTTAACTTCAGACCCTAAAATCTTTATCCACTTCAGTGTGCTGGGGATGCAACAGCAAACAGAAAAAAAGTACCATCGTTTTTGATGATTAAACTTCAAGGGGAGGAAAAAAGAAAATAAAGAAGCAAATAGGGGATATCAGGTGGTGATAAGTTATCCAGAAAAGTGAAAATTTTTAAGGGAATAGAAACTGAATAGGGTGAAACAGCAGAGAAAAGTGCTGCTATTGGGAAGACCATTTCAGGGAGAGCAAGTGCAAAGGCCCTGAGGTTAATGCA